ATATATATAATCTAATATGCTCAAAATAACAGATATCACAATTTGAAATAATTAGTATTTTTTAATATGATCCGCGCATCGCGCGAGTTCTAATACTAGTTATAAATAAAACATGTCTTCTTCAGCAAAAAAAAAAAACAAAATGGAAAAGGGTTTGAGATGCCCCTAAACTATTGGAAAAGGTTTAAAAATGACCTTCATCCACCTATGGGCTAAAAATATTCCTTCATCTACCTTTTTGGTTCACGTATGCCCTTTGACCGTTAGGTCAATGCTGAATTAAAATATTACTTAAAAAATATTTTGCAAAATATTTTCATTTTTTTAAACTAATGCAACAGTAGTCCACTAATTTAGTAAAGTCTTCTTCTTCTTTTTTCAGTTTTTACAAAAAATAATTCAATTTTTACAAAAAAAAATTCATTTTTTTCAGTTTTTTAAAGCATTTGTTTTTGTAAAAACTGGAAAAACAAATTTGTAAAACTGATTTTTTTTTTTTGTAAAAACTGAAAAAAATATTTTCGTTTTTCTAAAAACTGATTTTAAAAAAAAATATTTTCGTTTTTCTAAAAACTGATTTTAAAAAAAAATATTTTCGAAAACAAAAATATTTTGTTGAAAATATTTTTTTCTGTTTTTACAAAAAAAAATCAGTTTTTACAAAAAAATGCTTTAAAAAACTGAAAAAAATATTTTCGAAAACAAAAATATTTTGTTGAAAATATTTTTTTCTGTTTTTACAAAAAAAAATCAGTTTTTACAAAAAAATGCTTTAAAAAAACTGAATTTTTTTTGTTGTAAAAACTGAATTGTCTTTTGTAAAAACTTAAAAAAGAAGAAGAAGACTTTACTAATTTAGTGGACAAATGGTGCATTAGTTTAAAAAAAATATTTTGCAATTTTTTTTAAGTAATTATTTTTAATTCAGCATTGACCTAACGGTCAAAGGGCATAAGTGAACCAAAAAGGTGGATGAAAGGATATTTTTAGTCCAATAGGTGGATAAAGGGTATTTCTAAACCTTTTCCAATAGTTTAGGGGCATTTTGAACCCTTTTCCGGAAAAGAAAAAAAAAAGAAAGAAGAAGAGGTAACTTTACTTTTATCACCACAAATTGCATTACATGAGATATTGTACATTTTGTGAAAAGATTGTACCTTGTTTAATTTACTAAGTTGAAAAGATTGCACTATTTGTGGGAATTAGGATTCAACACTGGATTGTGAATCTTTCCCAAAAGTAGGGGGAGATTCTGAAAGCATATAGACCATGATGAAAGTAGCCTTTATACTTAAACTCCTACAAATCCATCCCCTTTTAAAAACAATTTAATTGGGTGAAATTCCTGTAATTTCATAAATCAATCTATAGAGGTGCCAGCTACAAACATTCAAGAGAGAAGAGAACGTGGTCAAAATTTCCAACTATGTGCAAACTAAATTTGATATCTAACGACTTTTATATCCCCACCCCCCAACCCCAATAGGTATTACTCTCTCCGGTCCACAATAAGTAATCAATTTACTTTTTTATTTTAGTCCAAAATAAGTGTCCATTTATATAATCAAGAGAGAATTCAATTTGTTTTTACAAAATTACTCTTATGTACATATCCCTAAAAACTTTTCTAACTCCTCACATTAAATATTTAATTAAGGGTAGTTTAGTCATATTAGGTATTTTGTATAGGATTTATTATTTTATTAATGGGCATGCCAAAAGCAAATTGGTCGTGGACCGGAGGGAATAGTACTACTTTCTCTTTCCAACCAAGAAAGTTCTTGTACCAGAATCTTCATTAGCCACTGAAAATAGTATACATGCCTATTATAAATAGTAGTTGCATATAGAATACAACTTTATTCTCAACAAACATGACAACTTTGAAAATCACCAAAAAGCATCACAAACATTTCAACAATCCTTTCCCTGCCAACCCAAAGACTCTCCCATTGATATATGGAACTTTGATCTTGAATTTTCAGAAACTGCCTTCTTCACATCAGATCTACACCATTGGAAAAGATTTCCAGTTGAGTTGGTCTTCAAAAGATGGAGGATTTCTTTCAATCTCTCACAAGTCTGAGCCAGCAAGGTCCCTGTGGTCCACAATCCCTAGAGAAGCTTTCATTTCTGCAGCTATTGCTGAAACTGAAGTCGAAGAAAGTAGAGGTTCATTCCTGATCAAAGATAAACATGTTCATTTCGTATGTAATCACCAAACCATTGAAGAGATAAACATCATAAACCAATCTGATATCACTACGTCCTCACACGATCAAGATCAATTTTTGCCAAAGAATTCCCAGTTTCCTGTTTTGATGATCACAGGGAAAGTTTATGGTGTCAATAAAACAAAGAAGGTTAGATTTCCAAGACGAAAAGAGTTGATGGAATCTTCAGAGAAAGAAACTTCCACTTCTGCAAGATATTGGCTTCTGTTTGATCAAAAAAACTGTAATCAACTTGGTTTCCAAGTGAGAATTGGAAAACCAGATTTACAACTTCCACAGAGAGTTTCTCCAAGAAGTTACAGAAGCTTTTCTCTAAAATTTGGTCGAATTCGGAGACGTAGAGCTGGGTGGTTTGGATTTCTGTCAAGAAAAAAAACTGTCGCTGAGGAGAACGTGGTGATGAAAAGTGCCGGAGTTAGTGATTTCAATAGGATTTGTTTAACATATGCAAGTGAAAGAAATGAGAGATTCTTTGGTTTCGGCGAGCAATTTTCTCATTTAGACTTTAAAGGAAAGAGGGTCCCCATTTTTGTTCAAGAACAAGGGATTGGAAGAGGCGATCAACCTATTACCTTTGCAGCTAATTTAGTTAGCTACAGGTACATTTTTATTATTTTCTCATAGAGACTTACCATTTATGTTGAAAATCTTTCTAACTCAACCCTTGTGTGAAAACTATGTCAATCATAAGGTTTTTAATAAAAGACTCAAACGAGCACTACTGTCTAATGTAGGGCAGGGGGGGACTGGAGCACAACTTATGCTCCTTCACCATTCTACATGACATCAAAGATGAGGTCACTTTACTTGGAGGGTTATGACTATTCAGTGTTTGATCTAACAAGAGATGATAGAATTCAAATACAGGTAGGTGACTTTTGACAATTCCTGTCTTCCTGCTTAATTATGATCTTGTTAATCCCAGAAATTTTCAAATAATGATAGTGTAAACCAAGCGAAAACGTTAAAATTTTGAATCGCGCACTTTCAGAAATGTTAACCAGGCCAACAGCAACTCAATACAACAGTATCTGCTGCATAAAACTTACCTGTATTTTTCCTTGATACACAAGACAATCTTATCCCGTACCATATCAAAAAGAACATTCAGGCCAGAAGAAATAATCCCAACACATGTAGTGGTAAAGCAGAGAATATGAAGGAAAGAATGTATAAATCCTTAAATGTACATTTTGTTCAAATTCTCATACTCACCTCAATCGTTGCAGTTACATGGGAACTCATTTGAAGGTCGGATACTGCACGGCAACTCACCTTGTGAGCTCATTGAACATCTCACAGAAAGCATTGGAAGGCCCCCACCTCTTCCAGAATGGATTATTTCTGGTGCAGTGGTGGGAATGCAAGGTGGCACGGACACCGTCCGCAGTATTTGGAATGAAATGCAAAGATATGATGTCCCAGTATCAGCATTCTGGTTGCAGGTACACCTTTTCCAATGAAGGAACTAAAAAGATTCTAGGCCTCATCCTTCTTATTTTCACATTTTATCACACAGAAAGAATACTCAAATTGATTCAGATGTGTAAGATCTTTTTTCATATACTCTTCGTTCAGGATTGGGTAGGGCAGAGAGAGACAGTCATTGGGTCACAACTTTGGTGGAATTGGGAAGCAGATGAAACTAGATACTCAGGATGGCAACAACTAATTCGAGACCTTAATATGAAACATATCAAAGTGATGACATATTGCAATCCTTGTCTGGCTCCGGTATTTAACCCATAACTTTACCATTTATTTTGTGGAACTGCTGGTGGACAACCTTTAAAAGTTTTGCTTCAAAATTGCAGATGGATAAAAAGCCAAATATAAGGAGACACCATTTTGAGGAGGCAAAGAAGTTGGATATCTTAGTGAAAGACAAGAATGGGGAACCATATATGGTGCCCAATACAGCATTTGATGTAGGGATGCTGGATTTGACACATCCACATACCGCGAATTGGTTTAAGCAGATTCTGCAAGAAATGGTAGATGATGGAGTGAGAGGATGGATGGCAGATTTCGGCGAAGGCCTGCCAGTGGATGCCTGCTTGTATTCAGGTATGAGAAGCACGTGAATAAAGCAACTTAAAAGAGGATCAAATACTAGCACCCCAGTATTTAAGTTTTCTTTCACCTTATTGCTGAATTAACCAAAGTTAACTCCAACATTTGTGTTTAACTATTCAGGCGAAGATCCAATTGCAGCACATAATAGATATCCTGAATTATGGGCAAAACTCAACAGGGAATTTGTGGATGAATGGCGAAGCACACATGTAGGCCAAGAAAGAGAAGATCCAGAGGAGACTTTGGTTTTCTTCATGAGGGCTGGTTATAGGGATACTCCTAAGTGGGCAATGCTATTTTGGGAGGGAGACCAAATGGTGAGTTGGCAAAAAAATGATGGTATCAAGAGTGCAGTGGTTGGCTTGCTTAGCGGAGGACTTTCAGGATATGCTCTTAATCACAGT